GTACACAAAAGACATGTTAAACACTTTGCATGTATACAAAACAAAGATGTCCATAACACCACATCTATAAAAAAAGCTAAGGAAAGTGACCATACATAAAGAGTACATATTTACCTGAAAAATATATAATCAATGGGTGTGAGTAGTTTGAATTACTCAGTAGAAAAATGCATTATGAAGATAACCTAGGGTTTCAATGACCTTGCAAGTAAAACATAGATCATAGCATGTGGAACTTACCTCCTAATGTCTAGTTCAAAGGTAAATCTAAGGGATCATCCTAGAACTATCATTGAAACATGTTAAACAATATCCACATTCAAAATGTGTTTCAACAAGATTAAAATACCCAATAACAAAACCATAAGTTACAATTGCATAAGATTGTCAACTTGAAAATAAATTATGAAATCACATAATAGGAATATATTGGACATCAAATCCGGTTATGTATTACAACCAAGACAAAATTAGCTCTTCCGAGATATTAACCCGCCGGGAACTACCCAAATGGCCACTATAATTGGAGAGATCTAATACATCACTCACTAGAGCCAAATTCTAGCTATCAATGTAACAATGTCCCAAGTGTTTCCTAAAATCAAAAACATTTCTACAATATAATTATATGTATATAATGCACAAGTTTTACCTTCCATGCACACATAAGTTGTGAACATCAAACACTCCATGTCCTAAGTCTTCAAAACTAGTATGACATGATATCAAACAAGTCATCTATAAACCTATATGCTAACATTGGGATATCAACATAAAAGATTAAATCACGCTAGCACTTCAAGTCTTAAATACTTAACTACACAATCATACAAGTACTATGCAAGCCTTTAGTAATTTATAATAGCAAGAGGAATATTGTGATACCCCTCGATTCTAGAGCCACGGGTGATCAAGTCCGAGCACAGATCCGAAGGATATCAAACAATTAATATTTAATCGAACACAGAATACAAAATGAATTTAAGAAATAATAATAAGCTGAAGGAATACTAAATTAAAAATCCTCAAATATAAATATTTAAACCCTGACAATCCAAACTTCATAAGTTTACAACTCGGGAATCCATCTCCAGTGGACCCCTAATAAAAATCCAAACCGAGCGAAAATAAATAACTGAAGATAAAAGCCCAAATCGAATATCAGGAAAGAAGTCCTACATCGTCGGTAGAATGAAAGATCGTCTCTGCTCAGCTCGAACAAGCTCTAAGACCTCAACCATCCAATACCTGAAAAATAATAAGTGGGTCAGGCCCACTAGCAAGTTTTATACTACTACTACCCAAGCAGAGACCCGATACGCATGTACATCCTAACCAATCTAACAATAACTAAATAGTCCGTAAATACACATATATATAATCACACTACAGGACTCTCACTGGACTACAAGCCTGTCTCAGCCTGACTAGTAGGCACCATGCAAAACGCACCTGAGGTGGGCATGACTACCTAGTCTAGCAGGGTACACACCCAACCATCATAGCCAGTTATGCATCCCAATGCATATATGCTCCCTAGCCAAAGACTCTGAGACTCAGGCTCATATCGTGGCACCATAAAAATATATTTAAAATCCATTCCAAACTAAAAGTGTCACTCAACTATTTAGTGATCTGACACAAAATACAGGTAGGACTTAACTTTTGTAGTTAATCCATCCCTTAATCCAGAGTAGGTAGGACTTAGCATTTTTAAGCTAATCCCCCTAATATGTCACCGTCCCATACCGATGCATACAAAACATCCATCCAGAATTGATAATATATATATAACAGCATAACATATCAGTATCAACATATCCAATCATAAGCATAACAAGAATGTTTAACTAGCATGCTTGTTCATCCAGTACCTGATTCTCTAACAAATTTTAAATGCAGAGAATAAATATAACCATCATGTAACTCACAATAAGCATAATAATAACGTTAACAGTATCTACATGCTTACTTGTAATTAGTCCACAACATCCCACAAGTTGACATAACCAATTTTTTTGGTAACCATCAACTAGTTCTTATTAAGTATTAACTGAATTTATATTAGTTAATAGGCTTAATTCCATACCCCTGTTATATGATTTACATATCAAACTCCTAATTCAATTGCTAAATTAAAATTAAACAACTTGAATCATCTGCACAAAGCAACCATGTAAACTTTCTTAAAAGTTTCATAATGTCCCTTCTACTAACCTTCTATGGTAAAATATGTACTTTCATGCCTTCTGAAGTTTTAGTAGGAATTTAAATATCACTGAGAACCTCTAATTAAACTCTCAGTTGCCCCTGGAAACCCATTAATCCAAGCACAGTAGCTAGCAGTCTCGTAGAAAACCAAAAAAAATGAAAACCCTAGAACGAGCCGGCTCCACCCAAAGTGGAGCCGCCTCCATCACCAAGTAGAGCCAGCTCTACTACAAAGTAGAGCCTACTCCATCTTTTAATTGAGCCTGCTTTACTTGAAATAGAGCAGGCTCCTTCCCCTGTGCGTCGTTTTTCCAATTCCGGCGGTGTCCGGCTGTGTTGATCCTCCAAACCAAATTTCTTGCTGATTAAAATTAAGTCCTTGGGTGTTCAAAAGTTAATTAACTTCCTTGATTAATAATCACATTCAGTGGGAACAAGAATTAAACAAAATATTTTAAAAACGATTAACATGCACCTAAAAGAAAACATGATGTTCAACTTCTTCTCTAACTCCGGCAACTTTGTTCCTCCAACCCAAGTTTCTTGTTGATTTAAAACTAAGTCTAGGGTATTCCAGAGTAATTTAAATTCATCATTCATTAATTGAATTCAATTGGAACAAGAGTTACACAAAACAGAATAAAATATGCAAAATACTTAATCGGAAACACAACCTATTTTGAACAAATTCCATGCAACCAAGCAGTTTAATTTAGTTTTTACCCATCCTGAGATTGTGTTAGAGATGCAAAGAACACAGTCCAAAGAGATAGAGCTAGTATAAAACTTGCCTTACACCGACGTCGTTCAACAAACTCCGGCCAACTCTCTGTTTCTTCCCTTTGTTGCTTCCCAAATTTCTCCCAGACTCCTCTAAACTTCTCTCTATTTTCTTTATGTTGTGACTAGGGTTTTTGATCTCTAAACCCTAAGTAGTCGTTTAATACTATATTTATAGGCTTAAGTAAAAACCTAAACCCTAATTCTAATTGAAAGAGAATTATACAACCGACAATATAACAATCTTATACTACGTCGACTACAACAATGACGCTAAAACAAAACCCTAATTAATCCTACTAACGTAAAAACTCATTTACTTAATTAAATCATTTAACAATTAATTCTATTTAAAGAAAACAATTTCATCAAATAATTAAAACCCAATAAATAAACAATTAAAGAATTAAATAGAATAAATAATTTACAACACTTAAACAAGTCACAAAATTCAAATAATTAATTAAATCCAATGAAACAATGAAACCAACAAATTCACAACTAAACACATAAAACACAATTTAAATAATTAAATAAATTTCAGAATTATCCTTGTTAAATTAGGGGTATTACAAATATAGGAGTATAACAATTATATTTAAAGGAAATTAGTAATAATATAACCTTCTACCAATTTAATAATAAGCTTACAAGACAATAATTATACATGCTTTGGAATAACATAAAATCCTAAATCAAGTAAGATAAATCTTATGCATCCTACTACAACTCACACAACATGCATATAACATATGGTAAACTCCAAAATACAAGGAAAACTCAAAGATTACAATCATACTACACCCCCTACCTCACTAGAGAAAGCCTTTCTAGAATCCAAAGGAAAAGTGAGTAAAGATAAAATCCAAAGGAAGGATTTTGTAGTCCAAGGTGCAAGGAAACTTTTATCCTTCTATGGTAAAGCCAAAAGGTGAAAGGAAGGTAGGTAGAACTAAGCTCTAAGGTTTGGTATTAATGGAGTTTGACGAGAAAATGAGAGGAAGAAGATGAAGTGTAGAAAAAATGTCTAAAGCTAAGGTGATCTATATCACTTTAACATGTCTTGCACTACCTCTCACACAAGCATAACAATCCTAGCCCTCCATTTGTCCTCATCACACTCCTCCACGTCCCACTTAAAAACTAACACATGGTCCAATCAAAAGATGACATTTGTACAACTTCTCCAATTTGCATAAAAGTCTCTCTACTAAATATCTCCCAAAAATATTTGCACCAAGGTCCCAAAACAAAAATATTTCCAAAAGATAATCGCACAAAGAACCCTAAAAATGAAAATGTCCCCGAAGAAATAAAATACATATACCCCGACGAAAGCATAATATAATAAGCATGCATTGCTACCCAATTAAATTATACATTAACAATAAAACAAACTAAATTAAATGCATGAAGTGTCGGAAAGCAATTCCGAACACCAAACCCTACCTTGGGTCCTCCAAAACTCTAAGGTAACAAGAAACGAAATAAAAATAAATAATAAAATAAAAATAAATAAATAATAATAAAAATAAAAATAAATAAAAATATTGAAAAAAGAAAGATGACGGGATCATGGTCATCACAAGTTTTATATGTGCAAAAGGTTAACGGAGAGTCTTATTGTTTGAAGTTGTAGCTTCATACGTTGTTCATTCCAATTTCGGCTTTTGATTTGAACTTTATGAAGTTTGTTATCATGGATCGAGATTTTTTTATTTATTCACGTATTACATATGTATGAAAATACTAAAGTTCTATTTCTTGAGATGATATTTTAGTTTTTAGTATTTAGTTATCATAAAATATTTATAAAGAAAAAAATGTTAAAACTTAACAAAAATAATTTACCAATAGTTTCTAGTCTTTTCCTATTTAGTTGCTGCTTCTTGTTTTCCAGTAAAATTGTAAATACCCACTTATTTTTTTTTTATTATTATTATTATTATTTTTTATTTTAAAAAAAACAACTTAGGCTCCGCATTGAGGCATTTCTTCTTTTAGTACTCTCCCTCCGTTCCAGACACTTTCCCCAACTTGGCGCATCTTTGAAAATATTAGTATTATGTCTCTCGTACCAGCGTTTCGCTCTCTCATCAGACATTTGTACCACTGTGCTTACAGAACAACACCAGCCATAGCACACACTCTCTCCTCCTCTTTACTTCCCCAATTCTCTATCCCTACATCACACACACTCTCTCTCTTATCTTCCTCCCCTAAACCCACTCCAACATCCAAAACCCTAAAAACCCATGTCGCTTCCCAAGGTTACTCCACAAACATACACACACTCTCTCTCTCTCTCTATATATTGGTTTGTTGTATCTAATACCTTTTGATTTCAATTAATTCTGCAGAGAAAACACTGGTTGTTGAGAAAGGCGAATGCTTTGCTCAAGCCAACAACTACTCCGATCAGGTTGCGTGTTCGAGCACAATCGCAGCCATTGTCACTTCCTTGGGAGGTCCAGTTGGGATCGTGAGATTATCAGGACCATCAGCGGTGGCTATTGCTGCACGCGTCTTTCGTCCGGCCGCCAAAAAGAGGAGGAAGAACGTCTACTCTCCTTGGAGACCCACCAGTCACGTCGTCGAGTACGGCGTCGTTTTGGACCCCAATGGGAACGTTGTTGACGAGGTACTTGTTTTCCTTTTTATTTATTTATTTATTTGATGATTCTTTATGTTTACTTGTGGATTAATAATCTGATGAGTCTCATTTCTTAGCAGCAAAAAGAATTAGTATTTTTTTGTTTCCATATTTGAAACTTAGGCACCCATTTTTCTCATATGGATACTCGAACACTGATGGAATAAAAATAAAAATAAAATTTAGGAAGTAACACTAGGTTACAACCTTTGCTAATGGAGGATTTTTTTTTTTTTTTCTTTTCAATTTTATTGAATAATTTATTCATTTATATTGGATGTAGTAATGCGAGTATCTGTGTCTTCTGAAATTTGAAGTGCCTAAACTTTTGGATGTTTATCAGATGTATAATGTATTCCAGTATCCTGTTCTACATTGAATCTTGTTCCAAGTATACATTCATAGTTATTTTATTATTATTTATTTATTGTAATTTTGAAGTTATGAATTAAAGTTCCCATTGTTTGGGTTGGTCCCAAGAGGTGGGACTCCTTGACAACTGTTCATTTGAGCTCAAAATGCAGTCTTTATTGTGCGATACTGTTTTATCATTGGTGGGGGAGCATACGTGTTAATCAGGTGACTGTGATGTTCTTCTTTTCCTAGGTGTTGGCTGTACCCATGTTAGCTCCAAGATCTTACACTCGAGAAGATGTGGTTGAGCTTCAGTGTCATGGGAGTGAGGTTTGTTTGCATCGTGTGTTGAGAGCTTGTCTAGAAGCTGGGGCGAGCCTTGCAGAACCGGGTCAGCTTATTACTTTTATCTTTTATTGGTACAAGTAGTTTTGAGATGTACAAGGGTTGTGTTACTTCTGTAAATTTCAGATGTAATTATCTATGTTACATGGTTTATTCCAAAGTAGGTGAAGTTTTGGTTTTAGAGTCACAATACTTGGACATGGGTCTGAAATATGTGCCTTACTCATTTGGTTGGAATTGCATCTAAAAAACATATCAGAAAATTCAATTTTGTTATCTTTAGAAAGGGGGGAAGGTCACTTTTATTAAGAGCACCCTCTCGTCCCTTCCCACATTTTTCTTATCTTTATTTCAAATCCCGTGCTCTGTTGCTGAATGGATCGAAAAAATTCAGAGACACTTTCTTTGGGGTGGAAGAGGAGAGGAGTTCAAGTATCATCTTGTCAATTGGGAGCAAGTTTGCAAACCTTTGAAGTTTGGTGGATTAGGCATTCGGAAGCTGGTCCCTTTTAAGAGAGCCTTATTGGGGAAGTGGTTATGGAGGTTCGGTAAAGAGCGTCATCGACAGTGGAGAAGAGTTATCTCGTGTTGTTTCGAGGAGGAGAGTGGAGGTTGTTCCTCTCATCCCGTTTCTGTTACCGGAGGCGTTGGCATTTAGAAATTTATTCGGAAAGGTTGGGATGTGTTTTCCACCCATATTCGTTTCAAGGTTCGTAATGGTATGAATGTTAGATTTTAGGAAGACTTATGGTGTGGTGATCAATTGTTGTCTCTTTCCTTTCCTCGTCTCTTCAGCATTGCCGAGAATAAGCATGCTTACGTAGTTGACTATTATTATCTTGATAGCAGTGGGGTTACGTGGGATGTGCGTTTTAGGCGTTCTTTTTAAGATTGGGAGATAGCAGATGTTTGCGTTTTTTTGGATCTGTTGTATAGACAGAAGGATGTTGGCAGAGGTTGTGATGACATTTTGTGGACCCCCTCTATTCATGGTAGATATGGAGTAAGATCCATGTTCTTGTGTTTGTCTAATTTTATTGGACAAAATTTCCCATGGAAGTGTATTTGGCACTCTAAAGCTCCTCTGTCGCCTTTTTTGTTTGGACTGCTACTTGGGGAAAAATTCTAACATTGGATAATCTGCGCAAGAGAGGTAATACCATTGTTAACTAGTGTTGTCTTTGTAAAACAGATGGTGAGTCCGTGGACCATATTCTTATGCATTGTTCATTTGTTCTGTTGCGTCTGATTGTTGGAATCTCATATTCAGTATTTTTGGCGTTCAGCGGGTAATGCCTAAGCATTTTATTCAATTAATTAATGCTTGGAGAAGATGCCCTGTTATTGGTCATGCTTGTGATTTTTGGAGGATCGTCCCACACTGTGTTTGGTGGTGTATTTGGAGAGAGAAATAACAGAAATTTTGAAGGAAAGGAATCGTCTTTAGCAAGTCTAAAATCTCATATTCTTCGTTCTCTTTTCTGTTATGTAAGAGGCAGCGCTTGCTCCTCGATTGATGATTTATTTGATCTTTTGGACTTTGTTGGTCCGTAGGTCTTTCGTTTTTGTGTATTAGGGACGCGTTCCCCTTTTGATCGCTTTTCTAATATATTTTTTACTTATAAAAAAAAATTGAATTAAAATGTGAAATGCCTATATCAGACACTTTGAAACATCAGAAATTACTTTTCTCTAGAAATGAATTAAAAGTATTTGAATAATATGAGAGTATTCGGCAGTGTCTGTGTTATTGTTTAGTGATTTGACAAGCCCAACAGTTAGATTCACACCCGCACCTAACACAGGCAATGTGTTATATAATAAAAAAAGAATTAGTCAGGTAGTTGTATTGATATCGAAGGTTCCAGCGAGCCTCCTAGAAAAGTCACTTGGTGGTTGTATCAGAGATGGGATTTATTGGTTGTGTATAATGGGGGAATGCTTCTCATATTGTGTAGCCCAATGTGGCACCTACATTCTAACCAGGAGAAGAAGAGACAATTACACTTAAGAACATGTTAAACAACTTTTACTCTATGGTTAGCAGAGAAGTGTAATTAGTCTAGTCAAATTCATATTTGTCGAATTCTGCATCATTTTTTGGATCCATACTTGTCAAGTTTTGCATAAATTTTTGGATTCTTTCTCAACTTATGGCATCCACAATGAGTTGGCAACAGAACGAAGACGACTGGCAACATATAAAGACTATTTAATATTTACATAGAGAATCTGCAATGGAAGGGATAGCCCAATGCACAAGGCTCCTGCCATTATGGGGTTTAGGAGGGTTAGATGTACGCAACTTTACCTCCGCATGAAGAGTCTGTTTTCGGTTTCGAACCTGTGACTTCCACGTCACAGTGGAGCAACCTTACCACTGCGGCAACAAATTTTAAAATTTGGATAGAGTTATGAAACTACTGAAGTTCGAATTAAGATTGATGTTCATTTTTATTTATTTATTTAAGTTTGCATGTTTTAAACCATGGGAACCTATATCAAATGATGATACATGAAAATGATGTTTGGGAATAGCAATGCCCACATAGTGGGAACTTCAGAGTTTCTGATTGGTCCATTTGGATTACGGTCCAGTCAAGCTGTAGCTACCGATTGAATGGTCGGTTTCAGTGAGTTGGTCAAGCTTCAAGCCCTCTTTGTGTTTTGTTAAGTGCTGTGGATCTTAACTTTGGCATGCATACATACACAGATATATATACATATATATGCAAACGTTCAGTTTCTTCCTGGTGTGAAGGAGAATGTATGCACGACTCAAGTATTAACCGTCAGATCTCATTGGATAGTTAAAAAGGCAATTTATGTTTCTTTTTCAACTGTGAGGATTTAATTCGTGGATAACTTCTTTCCACACCAGTGAGCAGGTGACCAGTCCTCACACACACACTCTAATTATACACAAATATGCACACACACTCTAACAGAGGCACATATGCACAGAGCAGAGAGAGAACTACGTGTTGATCCTATATGTTTTTATCTTATATCATTATGCACGTGTTGTATTAAATTCTTTTCATCTTTTATCAGGCGAGTTCACCCTCCGCGCATTTCTAAATGGTCGTTTAGACCTCTCCCAAGCTGAAAATGTGGGAAAACTTATTTCAGCTAAGTCCGTGGCTTCTGCAGATGCTGCACTGGCTGGACTTCAGGCATGTCATATTTTCAGGAATCATATATTGGTTATTTCTTCCCGTAGTTAGTATGCCACTTTGACTAGCCGTGGACATGGCATCTGCTGTTATATTAATTAGGTAAACTTCAGTTGAAGAATTGATAAACAGCCCGGAATACAATATTTCTTTTGACAGGGTGGTTTCTCTTCTTTGGTGAGATCACTAAGAATACAGTGCATTGAGTTGCTTACTGAGATTGAAGCTCGATTAGATTTTGATGATGAGATGCCACCTTTAGACTTGAACCTGTTTATGGAAAAAATACATTCCATGTCACGAGATGTAAAGGATGCATTGGAAACTGCCAATTATGACAAATTTCTACAGTCTGGATTACAGGTATTATGTCAAACAGAAATTTCAGACCTGTGCTTCCTTGTAAGGATAAGAGATTATTACTTAGGTACACAAGGTGTGAAGAAACTGATTTACTGCATGGCCTTGCAGACATTGCTTTTGGATCCTCTCTTGATTTTTCTTTTACCATCACAGTAGTCATCCCTCTTCGGGGTTCATATGTTTGTAAATCGGGCTTTACATATTACTTGCTCAAAGTTCTGCTTAGTTGTTCTTAAGCTTCAATATTCTGGAGGAAAAAAAACAGTTTTTTTTTTTTGGATGGTGTGCTTGATATAGTTTTGCATGTTCAAATTCCATCTGCACCAATCCCCTAAATTAAAATGAAATAAAAAACTTAATCGATAATTTTTTTGTGCTTTTGGTAACTTGTGAAGAAAAACATTCATCACCATTTTCTTACCCTTGTATATGCAAATTTAGATATTTTTTTAATTTTTTATTGGAAATATTGCAGATAGCAATTCTTGGTCGGCCAAATGTTGGGAAGTCAAGCCTCCTTAATGCATGGAGCAAAGTATGTTGTTGCAACAAGTTGTTTTTTCAATTTAATTGTTATATGATATTGCTGTGTACGTAGTTGTGAGCTCAAGTTGGTGGGCTGTTCTTTAAACTAATCCAATTTGAGGTGTCAGTGGAGGGAAGAGAGAAATTAATACTATTCGCCCTGTGGCAATTAAAGCAACCTTTTTTTTGGTCATTGAAGAAATAGAATGAACTTGGTAAGTGCTAAATGGAGTAGGAAAGAAGAGATTTAATCCCCTCTCTATAAAGATTAGATGTTCGGTTCCAAACCTTGTTTTCTCTAGAATTGAGAATCTATCCTCTAGTTACAGGCAAGATGCACCTTAATAGTAAGGAATTCTTCCTATAATCTCAAGACTAATCTTCTTAAAAAAACATATACAATGCTTTCTGCCTACCAAACCTCTATACTAATTGTGGCTAATGTGATGGTATTTGAACTTTTTCAATAAATAATTTCATTCTGTATACCTTATATGTTATGAGAGAGATGAAATTATGTAGTGCAATACAAATCCATACAAGTCCTCCAACTAGGAGTGATGTAGGACACGAGCTACCTCGAATAGTTGAAATAAATAGAGAGTTTATTTTTCAGATAAACAGGGCTGCGCTTTAAGATGTGTTGGTAGAGAGAAAGGATTTGAAAATAACAATAGCTTAGTGGAATCACACCAATAAGCCTAAGCATCACATGTAAGAAAGCCTCACACCCAGTGTTGTTAAAGGCGCTCCCTAGGCTCGAGGCTTAGGTTTAGCGCTTGTTGTCATCCCAGGCTTACTGATGTTTACTAGGCGCGCACCTCGGTAGCGCCTCGTCCTGTTGCGCGCCTCACTGATATTTGTTTAAAAAAATACGATTGTTCTATTTCTTAAGCCAAAAAGGGTACTTTTGGCAACTTAATAAACAAAAAAGAAAGCCCAAGCATATGATAGAAGGAACTTTTGTATAAAAGAATAAACAAAAAAGAAAACTCAAGAGTCAAAGTATTTACCGAACAGCGATAGAATGAGATTGTGAGACGAAGACGAAGCCCTAGTTGCAGAGATGAACGATGAAAGCCACGTCAGTTTTTTTTTCTCTCTCTCTCTCTCTCTCTTCTCCTCTAGATCTCCCCTCTCTTATTATCTTTGTTTACATCTCTCTCTTCGTCTAGTTCTCTTCTCTCCGTGTCTTCTTTTTTATTTGGCTCTGTTTTTTCTTTTCTTTTTTTTTTTATTTTTTTAATTTTTTTTTCTTGTTAACAATTATTATTATTTTTTTGTTAACTTATTTATTTCTTTTTGTGCTTTGTTTTGCCATTCAAAAAAACACATTTTGCTTTGCCTTTTAAGAAAACAAAATTGTGCTCTGTTTTATGATTGTTGGATGCTTGTATAGTTGATGGATTTACTTTTTTATATTTGATGTTAATTTTTAGAATATTGATATGACTTATGAGATATGAATGTTATTATGGTAGTTTAAATTTTCAATTGTGTGCCTCACTTCACTTAGGCGCGCGGCTCGCTGTGCGCCTCGCGCCTAGGCTCCATAGGACCTCTAGCACCTTGGTGCACCTTTGGCCTTTAATAACATTGCTCACACCTCCTTAATTCATGAATCACTTACAAGGAAATCTCAAAAGACATGTTATTATTCATTCATTCACTGATCAGCCAAGTTTACATCCTATCCCTTTGTAGGATTCTGCTCATGCCTCTTAGGCATAGATGGAGTGTAACTCATGACTTTTGGACTTACCTCATAATGTGGTAATCAATGAGACTCATAACGCTTCCAATTGTCAACTAATGAGTTAATAACATTAATAAAAAAAATAAAAAAATCAGCTTAACTGCATCATAATGCCCAACAAAATTGAAAATAAAAAGTAATGCCCACCAAAATTAATCCTACTTCCCATGCCTTTTATACACTTTTAAAGGCTGCTGCCACTGACCTCTGTCAAGGAGATCCTATCTTTGAAATGCATTTGAGTGGATCTCATACTTTCTCATGAGATTTAGTGGAAAAACCTTAGATATTGCAAAGTCTTGCTTATGATTATGCTATGGTAGTAATTAGGATCTGCAGCGTAAGTTAATATTTTTATTTCATTGGATTTAGAGTTACCATTTTTTTAGTATTTTAAACTTGAATATTGCCTTGGGATGTAGAAGGTTTGGCCTAGATGTTCTCATACTTATTAATGTAACTGTAGCTCTTAATCTAGGGGTGTCAAAATTCGACACAACCCGCCAACAAGACCTAACTCGACACGAAGTTAGCAGGTCTGAGGTGACTTTAATCATGTTTGTGTCATAATCATGTCAACTCGTTTAATTAATCATGTCATGTTCATTAGACCCGTTTAATTAACCGTGTCATAATTATGTTTGGTCAACCCAATTAACTCGTAACCCTTTTTAACCCAATTACTATGGACATTTTTATTATTTCAATATAAATTCATTATGAATATTGTATATAGCATTTTTTTTTTATAAATTTTATAATTGTATTATCCAAAATGTTCTCATTTTTATTAATTTTGTTTTCTATTATCTCAATTTTTCATTGTATTAATTAATAAACGTTGTTACATGACCCATTCAAATTAAACAGGATACCCGTGTAACCCGTTTAATAAAAGGGCTAAGTTCGTGTCGATGGTGTTTGACACGATTATTAAACAGGTCGTGTTCGGGTTAACCTGTTTGGCAGAATACGCAGACTTAATCTGTTCTTTTGGTGCTTATGTTAAATGAATTTAGTGTTACATCTTATTCAGAGTCTTACTTACCTTCTAGCTTGCAGAGTGAGAGAGCAATAGTTACTGATATTGCTGGAACCACGCGGGATGTTTTAGAAGCCAGTATTACAGTTCATGGTATACCTGTCACCCTTCTTGATACGGCAGGTATCAGAGAAACTAATGACATTGTGGAGAAGATTGGTAGGATTATTCTCTTTGCTTAGTTGTGTTTAAAATTTATATTTTGAGTTGTTACTTATAAATAGCATTTATGCAATCAAGTTGGCCTTGTATTATGGTTTCATATGTGCCTGTACTTTAAGAAATGTAATATTTCATCTTCAGTATCATATTTTGTAGCATGCACATGTAGGCTTCCCATGAAAACTGATTTAGTTTTTCTCGTGCTTATATTCAATATGAAAAGTGTTAATTCTAATTTTAATATGTTTTGATCTATTCCTGGCACATTATTGTATAGGTGCAATCAAGGATTTTACTAAATGATCTAGTTTGAATCTTTTATTGGTGATAACAACCATGTCTCAGTATTAAATATAATTTCCATTGGACAACCAAAAACACCCTAAAGTTTTGAGCTATTTGTTATTTCCTTTATTGACACTTGTATGGCTTTGGTGTACCTTGGTTTTACATGGATTGTGCGTGCACCGCCTTTTTTGTGTGTGCATAAAGTGGATTTTTATTCTGTAACTTGGGGGGGGAGGGGGGGAGATTTGACCTGTTCCAGAAAATCTATATGTGTACTTGATATATTCTTAACTATATTTAACTATGAGGTTTAAGTATATTTTATCAGAATTTTAGTTAATAACTATTGAGGGTCAGGGTGGGGGGGAGTGAGAGAGGGTTTGACCCGTTCCAGAAAATCTATATGTCTAGTTGCTGTCTTCTGAACTATATTTAACTATGAGGTTCTAAATTTATTTTATCAGAATTTTAGTTAATAACACTGGATTGAATAGATCACAAAAGACAATACTCAAGCTAGGGAGATTTCATGGGCTATTGTGAGATATTTATTTTATTTAAGATTCCTTTCTAAATAAGAGGTAAATGTTTCCAAGAAGATATGTAGGTATATATGTGATTTATTCTCTACCCAGATTAGCTGACATTTTTGAATAGGTATTTGTTTGATATATCGCTGTGGTAGGTTTCTGAGCACGATTATGTAGTGGTTGCAACTCATACCTGATTGTGTTATATCTGTACGCTTGTAACCTATTTGTCGAATTTTTTATTTATTTTTTACCTCGTCCTATGCTTCTTTTCAATTTTGACTATGAGATCAGTCGAAATGGAATTAATTTTGATATCCCAAACTTGTCTTTAATATCGTGTGACTATTTTCTTCATAGGCGTGGAGAGATCTGAAGCAGTTGCTAGAGGTGCTGATGTCATTATTCTGACAGTAAGTGCTCTTGATGGCTGGACATTGGAGGACACCAAAATTCTTGAAAGGATTCAATCCAGTAAGGTCTTACAAGCCGACCCATCTCTTTTGGCTCACTTTTTATTGAATTTGAAAATTAGATAATTTGGGAACTATTACTAGTTGGTTGGCTTTGGTTCATATCTTCAAATCACTTCGTTTTCTTTCTTTTATCCCTTCAACTTTGTTGTCCTTCAAAAGCTTTATTATATTTCTTATATCATTTTACTTAGATCTAGAATATTGAAGTGCAACTCGAAATGCAATATTAGCATATTTTGGTTTATATCAATTTGTTCATTATTCACTATAATTTTAGGTTTACTTTATCAGTGTAAACATTATCTATATCCATATACCTATATAATTTTAGGTTTACTTTATCAGTGTAAACATTATCTATATCCATATATCTATATCCATATACCTAGACACGTGAGCGCCACTTTATGGCCTTGTCCATTATTTAAAATAAATTTTATTATTTTGGACACTTGGTTGATACATTCCGGACACTTGACCAACACATGTATATGTCATATATATATAAAACCAACACACGACAGTGTCGGAGACAACATTATAAACATCTGTCAAAGTGTTCAACATCTAAGGAACAAAAACATAACTATAATGACAAGATATAATAGTAATTTCATACAAAATACTCCCTCCATCCCTTTTTGGGAACCTAACTTTTTAAGACGTGGCCTTTTATTTTTTATTGTATTGGTGGTGAATGAATTACCACATTTACCCATAGTCGGTCTGGAGTAATGTGATGTTTTACATTTAATTGTTTTTATAAGTTCAATACAAAAAGATTAAATTGGGAATGTTGTAAAATATAGTTGATTGACTTTTGAATTGGGACTTATTTTGGGACAACTAAATATGGAAAGGACACTTATTTTGGGATGGAGGGAGTATAACATATTCTTCTTTATATTTTAATAACGTCATCTTCTAACTTATGTAACTTCTGTGTAGAATTTATAAATTAATTAAAGTCCCGTGATTGTCTCATTCAATATATATATATAAATGAAAATTTATATTTGTTGGAGAATATTATTATAGGAATGATTAAAACTCTTAAATCACTCCTTTGACATATTGATATGAATCAATCATGGGAGTGATTTTAGGAATGTTTTCTATATCATATTTATCACGTCTTTATTCTTTCACTTATAAATAGAGGTGATTGTGTATACAAAAAATCAAGAGAGAATATAATTTTTTTTTTTTATAAATAAAATGTGTTAGAAAGCGTTCAAAAGGGGAACGCATCCCAAGAGATATACAAGAAACCAAACCAAAAGCCCTATGGACCCAAAGAACCCAAAAAGTCCACAATCTCATCTAAAGATATACAATTTCTCCCCATCACTCAACTAAAAAGAGAACTAATAATAGCAAATTTCAGTGCCTTAATGGGGTCTCCTCCCCATCAAAAGATCTTTTGTTTCGCTCTTCCAGATGCTCCACTAAACACAAAGGGGGGTCACTCTCCAACAGACACGAGCATGGGCCTCCACCCTTTGGCCCCTCCAAATGTCACTCAAATCCCTTGAAGACCGAGGCATAACCCAATGGATGCCAAAAAGACCAAAAATAAGACTTCATCAATCATAAGCCATAGGACAATACAGGAGAAGGTGACCCAAAGACTCTCCATCATTCTTACACAAACAACACCAGTTAATTATGATATGTCTTTTCTTTCTCAAATCGTCCAGAGTCATAATCTTACCCAAAACTGCAGTCCAAAAAAAAATGCCACCCTGAGAGGAGCCTTCAAACACCAAACCGTCTTCCATGGGAAACTGGAGCCATGAAAACCTAGACCACCGCTCCTCAACCTAAAATCCACATATTCACTGGCAACTAGAACGGAATCCAGAATCTGTCTTCCCTCAACAAATGCATTTTGAGACTCTGAGATGACACTGTCCAGAACCTCCCTCAATTTCAAGGCGATAACTTTAGCAATAAGCTTATAAAATGCATTGGACCTTCGGTTCAAATCGTCTTGGATCTTCGGATCAACTCGTCTCGCATCTCAGGATTACTCGTCTCGCATCTCAGGATCAACTCGTCTCGGATCTTCGGATTAACTCGGCTCGGATCTTCGGATCGATTCGTCTTGGATCTACTTGTCTCGGACTTTCGACAACTTCGTAATCAGTTTCAAGTTAGACACTTGAGTTAAAATATGCGTGGACCAATTGGAAGAGAAGGAAGATTTTTTGGGGGGGGAGGGTTTGGAGAATATTATTATAGGAATGATTAAAACTCTTAAATCACTACTTTGACATATTGATATGAATCAATCATAGGAGTGATTTTAGGAATGTTTCCTGTATCATATTTATCATGTCTTTATTCTCACACTTACAAATAGAGGTGATCATGTATACAAGGGTTGGAGAATATTATTATAGGAATGATTAAAACTCTTAAATCACTACTTTGACATATTGATATGAATCAATCATGGGAGTGATTTTAGGAATGTTTCCTATATCATATTTATCATGTCTTTATTCTCACACTTACAAATAGAGGTGATCATGTATACAAAAAATAAAGAGAGAATATAATAAAGGTTATGTAGCCCTTTGGGCTTGTGTCTATCCTTGTGTTCTTCATGTTTAATTTTTCTATTCAATTTTTATATCTTTAAGCAATATTTATATTAGCCGTGTTCGTGCTGTCTTCGTGTCCTACTTTTTATTAATTTGACGTGTTGGCATATTCGTGTCGTATCGTGTCTGTATCCTTATCCGTGCATCATCATCATTATTTCCTTAATCCCTTATGAATTGGGTCGGCCACATGAATTATTATAATTTATTTTGACAAGTAAATATATATTAGAAAGTGTTCAAAAAGAGAAACACATCCCAAAAACTATACAAACGCCGTAGCCAAAAAAGGACCCGAAGGCCCCAAGGAATCCAAAAATTAACTATATTCTTTATGGATTTATAGTTTCTCCCCATAACCCACCAAAAAAGTGAGCTAATAGTAAGAAATTTTAAAGACCTAATAGAAGACTCCTCCTCTTCATCAAAGGGTCTTCTATTTCGCTCCTTCCATAAGCACCACCAAACGCATAAAGGTGCCACTCTCCAAAAATCACGGATGTGGGATCCCACATAGCACTCTGTCCAAGAATCCATCAAGCCTCTTGAAGACTGAGGCATAACCCACTGAACTCCGAATAAACCAAGGAGAAGGCCCAACAAGCATGAGCCACGAGACATTGCAAAAGATCATCAGACTCTCAATCACACTTGCACATGCAATGGTAACATGTCTTCTCCTTCTCAGGTTATAAAACGTCAAAATCTTGCCCCAAATTGTTGTCCAAGCAAAGAAGGCCACCTTGAGCGGAGCCTTGGAAAACCACACCGCCTTCCACGAAAATACAGGCAGGAGAGGTCCGAGAGGCATCTAAACAAAGAGTGCATATTAAATCTTCCCTGAGAAGAAGGCACCCAAACAAGAGAATCCAGACGTCCACCATCAACCTCCTATCGATACAAAAGCTCCAAAAAGCTAAAGACGGTATCCAATTCCTAGTCCTGAAAATTTCTCAAGAAACACACATCCCAAGTTATCCGCCCGCTATCAAGCCGATAACAGTCGGCAACGGCAACCGAGGCATGCGTATTGACGACAATCCTAAAGAGACAAAGGAAAGGAACAAGCAAATGGGCGATCACCGCACCATAAATCCTCCCAAAACCAAACGCCCCTACCATCCCGAACTTTGAGTCTTATATGTTTAGAAAATTTATTCCAACCCTTCCGGATGAATTTCCAAACACCAACTCCTCTTGGGGATCTAACTGCAAGAGAACACCAACCACCTCTCTCCTCCCCATAACGACACGAGATAACCCTCCTCCACAGCCTCTGGCGCTCAACACCGAATCTCCACAACCACTTACCTAGGAGGGCCCTATTAAAAGGCATCAACCTCTTCTAGCCACCGAGGAAGGAATTTGATAGAGAGAGAGGAAGTCTCGACAAAGTGCTCTTCATCATGGTAACCTTCTTCGAAAGATCTGCTTCTTCGAACCGGCAAGCCTCATTTCAAACCGCTCAACCACATGATCCCAGCCCCCCACCCTCCTCGACGGTAACCAAAGGAAAACCGAAATGGGAAACAGGGATGGACCTAACCCCAGGGAATGAGCTAACCCCACACATAACGACTGCAAGAGACGATATCAATTCCCCCCCGGTGAGGGAATGAGACTCTTGGGCTTGAGCCCTCACTAATAACCTCTCCATGCGTCGAGCAAGCTCATCCTGGTAAGTGGCATGATAAGATGAAACCCCAAAACAAACATCATAGCCGAAATATCTTGAGTCATTGATGGTGGAAAAGAAGATGGTTTACAGACCACTCATCCCTCTTGCACATGTAGCACTAGTTGACAATATTTTGTCTCCTTGGATTGTTGATCATCAGTATTTGGCCCAGACCTGCCGTCCACGCAAAGAAGGCCACCTTAATGAAGCCTCAGTGCACCAAATTGCCTTCTGTGGGAACGAAGACCCTTGAACCGTCAACAATCTCCTATAAAAAGGAGCGCACCTCTAATCTCCTCTGAGGAGAGGCCACCTAGAACCACTCATCTGACTCCACTCCACATAACTTCTGGCGGTACAGCAACACCAGGAGTTAAGCAATATCCGCCATCTCTGAATCTTGTAGGTGCCTCTGAAACAGTACATGCGAAGTCGTCCGTCCGCTATCAAGTCGATAACAATCAACGACCAATACTTGCCTGTCCACTACAATCTGAAAGAGCCTCAGATATACACACGCTAAAGACTGATCACTGCACGAATGATCCTGCCCAAAACATATATCCCAGCCACTATGCACCCTGAACTGAATGTGTTTTATAAATTCATCCCACCACTTCCGGATGAATTTCCATCCACCCACCCTTGCAGGAATCGTCACCTCCAAAGAACACCATCTTTCTTGTTCCTCCCTAAACTTCAAGCCGATAACCTCCCTCCATAATCTGTGCCTCTACATACCAAATTTCCATAACCGCTTACCCAACAGAATCTTATTGAAAGGGTCCAACCTCCTAATCCCCAGACTCCCCATCTGAATCAGCCTGCACACTTGCTCCCAATTCACTAGATGATACTTGAATTCCTCTCCCAAACCACCCACAGAAAGTTCTGTAGGCGGTGTCAAGTCTCTTCACCACCGACGAAGGAATCTGGAAGAGGGACAGGATATAAGTGGGCAAAGTCGACAAGTACTCTTCATTTAATGTTAGCACCCTCCCTTTGATAGGAATTGCTTCTTCCACACTGCAAGCCTCCTCTCAAACCTCTCCACAAACTGGATCTCAAACCGGGACCCTCCTTGAAGGCAACCCTAAAGGCAGTCCCAAATTTGAAAGTGAAAACGACCTAACACCACATCCCATGTTAACTTTCAGCCCAGAGACTGCCTAAAGGCAAACCAACACCGCTTCTCAGAAATCTCAGTTGAGACTCATCAGCATCACAAAACACTATGGTGTCATCTGTGAACAGTAGATGAGAAATCTCTAATAGACAAAACTGATCCCTACCCACTCTCAAGCATCTAATGAACCTCGACTCCACCGCTCTCCCTATGCAGTGAATGATATTTAAAACCCTGATGTCAGCATCTCCATTTCCTTGGCTACCTGGAAAGAGAGAAAGTAAAGAAAACCTTCCAATGTGAAAGAGACTCTCTTGGCTAGCAGATGATCCTCGTCTCATTGAGCTGCCTCCATTTGTAATCTAGCTTGTGCACTTGATTATATAATGAGAGCATCTTTAGTTAATGTTTGTGCACATTCAAACCTCAGGCTTTCCTCAGGTCAAAAAGTGCAGCGTGTGTGTATTTATATAGATTCCATCCCCCCCCCCCCCCCCCCTTCTCTCTCTCTCTCATGCTCAGTTAGCTTCTCCAAGTCCGGAGGTAGTAGATCATGTGCTGTTGTGATCTCAACATTCTTGTGGAGCCTCAGTGACTATGGTTCTTAAGAGAATCTTCATTTAGTTCAAGAGTATCAATCAGAGGAGTTTGCAGAAGTTAGGAGGGGAGACAGCAGTCTTCTTGTTTTTAAGAATGCAAGAAACCTGAAAGCCTTCTAATTCTGTTGTTTCAGGCGCCCAAAAAAAATGGTTGATTAGGTTCTCTTTGACTGGTATCTTCTGAGATCCTATTTTTGACTCTTTCTGCACATGCATGAAACAGCAGCTAGAGTACCACATCTGCACAAAATCCATTTCTGAGGGCCCCAAAACTTTAAGAACTGGAGTAGTGGAGTCTACACATTCATTCTTTTCCTTGTCATGTTCTTTTGCCTAAATTTTGTGGAACTCCCTCATTTGCTGTTCTCGTGCCATTTCTTGATTTGTTCAGACTAAATAATAATGATGTTGCTATTTTTTTTAGTTGCATTATCTTCTGAAATGAAGTTTCCACGGGAGTTCACAATATTAATTTGTTTCTTGATGAAGTTGCAGTAGGTGTTTACAAATTTAATTGATTTATTGTTGAAAATACAGAGTGCAGTTTGCTCTTCTTCTCCAATGGTCCTCGTAATTAACAAAATAGATTGTGCTCCATCTGCACTCCCTGAATGGGTCAATAGCCATGGCAACTCCTTCAATAAGCTCATTTTTACTTGTGCTGTAACTGGTCAAGGGATACCTGATTTGGAGGTGGCAATATTAGAGATTGTGGGTCTTCACAGAATTCCTGTGGTAGGACGCAAATGGGCTGTGAATCAGGTTAGCAACATATTATTGTGAATTTAGCATTGTTTTTTAATATATTATTGCCCTTTTCAAGTATTTGACATTTCAACTGTCTTTACTAGTTTATTTGGTGTTAGTCCAATATTGAGTTGATGAGTTTCAGAATAGGCTCATGGATTATGCATGTTTGTGAAAGCATCTCCTCCTGGGTATACCCTAGCCAGCAATTTTGCTGTTTAAAAAGCACTTACCCTCAGTTCTTTGTTTGTTTGTTTGTTTGCTTGTTTTTTTTTTTTTCATCCGACTCTTGTACACATTATCCTTGGTTATCCAAGATTGTCTTTTTTGAAATTGTTCATTTCCAGGTCTCCTTGTATGCAAATTGTCTGAAGGATCCCTACTTGCCTTCTCTACATGTGTTTCCCAGACATAGGAAATTCTGGTTGTTCTTGAGTTTCAGATATTTCATCTCAATTTGATGTGAGGTTTGCAATCAGGCTGAAATACTGCAACCAAACAGATACATTTAGCACCATACTGAAATTATACTTTGTTTAGGAATGTCATCTTTTAATGACATTAGATCAACTTTTTAGATCTATTAATGATCTTTTGCAGTAGATTCTTACATGCTAAATTATTGCGCATTATGCATTATTGACATACTGTGCAAGCAGCCATATTAATGCAATCAGCTTATGAAAGAAAAATAAAATCAGTAAGAAGGGAAAACAGCGAGCTAGTTCAAGCTAAAAAAAAAATAGCTTAAATACCTACAACGCAATCCCAAAGAAAGGGAGAGGTAAAAGCTGCTGAAGCAGGCTGAACATATTGATAAATCGTCAAACACTGCTGAATACAACTTGGAACAACCCTATCAAAGATTTAATTCTAACCCTTCATATAAACATAATCCAACGGCTACTATTCTGTCCAGCAGAATAAAAGATGCTAAAATTGACAAAACAGCCCTTAAATGGTTACACGACTCACTTAATAGGCACATGACTCATTAAATAGAAGCAAAATGACAAAAATATCCAACTAAAGCTGACAAACATTGACATGAAATTAAAACAAATTTACGACTTAACTAAATAACTTAAAACTCATAAACAATGCTGCCCCTATTAATGCAATTTCAATCTAGTCTTCTTAGGATCTTCAACTGTTTGAAGAAAGTCCTATTCCATTTGCGCTGCATCACATATCTAATACAGAAACCTTAAAATCTAATTCCTGATTCATATTGTCATTCATCCTTACCCCCACTCACAGATAGATTTCAATTTCTGAAGGCTCTACTCTGCTTAAAAAATTCGACAGCGAGGTGCTCAATTGTTGTTTCCTTGAAAATTTTCAAATTTTTGCCATTTTCTCTCTTACTCTCTCTCAAGGTGTTTATTACTATCTAAAAATAATTTTTTAATGGTGGAGTGATGCAGGATAGGTAGGCTTGTCGTAACTTTGATTTAGAACCAGAATTGGCAGGTTTTTCGTAACTTCGATTTAGAATCAGAAAGAAAGGAGATGAGAATGAGAAGATGAGATAAACAGAGTGAAATAGAAAGGCTAGAGAGACTGAGGGATTGAAAGCAACAAGAACAACAAGGGAGAAGGAGACAACGTAGAGTTCTCAGACTCACTATATTATTCAATAATCCAAGCTGAAAATGTTTGATTACAGAAGAAATAAAAAAAGAAGAAAAATGAGAGAATTGTGTAAAGGCTTGAATGAGATACATCACTCATTCACAACTCTAGTATTTATAGATAAAAAGTCATATTACAAGAAAGGAAATTAAATCAAATCAAAATCAAATCACAACATATTCTATGGAATATTCTATGCCATGATTCGTGGCTATCAAATCTCTTGTAATATGGTAAGTCATTCCATAAATCGTGGCTTTCATATCTGCTAACAATTACATATTGAGCCTTTATAGACACAATGTTAAGCAAACCATAATGAAACCTAAAATATGAAAATACTAAAAATAACCTCAAATCCAAACATTACCATAAATAACAAAAACAAATAATAATCAAATCTAATTACATGAAATCCCTAATTTCATCTATCTTTGCCCCTTCTCCTAAAAGTAGAGGGGGAAGTGCGGCTCATCCATGAAATCATAAGTCTTTCTCCATCATGGAGTGTAACCTCTTTCTTCAATGTTCAAAGAGATTGTAGTTCTTAATGATATGCTCTTCCTTGTTCAATATACTACTTTAAACTGCATAATCCTTATCGTTTCAATTTTTCACTTTCCTTTGTTGATTTTGTTGTTCTTACTGACTTCTTGTTATTACTAGAACAAATGATACTTGTTGAGCCAACATGACAGTAGCGGAGTATTTCTTTTATCTCTGTATTGCAATGGACTGGTTGGTTATTTCTTTGTCAGGATGTTTTTATTTGAGGTTAGTTTTGGATGTGGTACTATTGTTAATTGAGTGTTTGAATTCAAGGTGGAAGGAAGTTTGTGATACGGTCATATGAGATATGGACAAATTATAAGACCATTTTTGTACTATCCTGGTTAATATGAGGGGTTAAATATAATGTATTATTTGAGAGTTGCACCAACGAACATGTTTGCATTGAGTTACACAATCCTATAGACCTAGAGAAGGTGACTAGGTCTATTTGCTTTTATTTGCCACTCCCTCTGTCCCGTATTAGTAGTCCTTATTTCCTTTCTAGGATGCCCCAAATTAGTTATCGTATTTGACAAGTCAAAGCAAAAATATCGTTTTTCCATAATTATCCTTTAAGTTTGCAAAAATATCCCAACTTCGTAAATACATATTTACACTTAAAAGGACGACTTGGTAATTTTAAAAGGGGTCAATTCATTAATTTTATGTCCCCTTAAAAAATTATTATACCAAAAAAGACAACTAATATGGGACGGAGGGGAGTAATTTAATACATGCAGACTTCAACTCACCCCCATTATCTTTGCAATTCGAGCCGCTGATTGTCAACATAATTGTTTTACCCAAAATGATCCACCTTATTCTAAATGATTTTGTTCTCAGTTGTTCTCGATCTCAAAAAGCAATAATTTGTTTGATTGAAAATTGGTTGAAACTTTGAATCAATGAAGCGCCTTGGCCCCCAATCCAATCACAAACACAATATTTAGTCATCGAAGTAAAATTCTGATTGGGTGAATGGAGAAAGCCTCAAGCATTTTGTGAAAGACTAGGGTTTCGCGATTATAATCTCCTTTTTGAACTGTATTTCTTTCTCTCTGTGTCTGAGGCCTCAGATCATGTGATTTAGTAATACCTAGTTTGGCACACAAGAATGAAATGGAATGGGAGTGGGAATGGGAATGGGAATGAGAAAGGAATGGAATGGTCATTCTCATTTTATTGTTTGGTTGCTAATATGAAATGATGTAGGAACGATAATCACCATTCTAAGTGGTGGCGGTGGAAGGCAATGGCGGCGGTGGATTGGTGGAAGGCTGTGGCGGTGCAGTGGCGGTAGTGGAAGGCAGCGGCGGCGGCTGCTGTGGTTTTTGGACTTAGAACGTGATGTTTCTTAAAAGAATTGAATTTTTTTAAAAGTTAAGACTTTGGAATGGAATGACCGTCCCATAGGTTTAGAGGTGGAATGGTTACTGATTCCTTTGAATAAATTTTCAAGGGAATGGTCATTCCCACTTTAAATTTCATACCAAATATAGGAATGGTTGGAATGTGATTCCATTCTTGCATAAAAAACTACGCCTAAGCGTTTAAATTGAATTATAAATCCAAGTTGAATAGGAATTGCGCTTGATGTTTTAATTCAATTTACTGGTGCATTGATAAAACCAACTGCTCCATTGAGCTCTCTGAACTCAATCTACCCGCGCATAAGAGTTATGTCCAGGTACATTGAGGCCACTCTACTTTACATGCGTAAGTTTTTATTTTTTATCTGAAGTTTAATGGGAAGTCTGTAATATGTTCTTTTCATTGGAACTTCATTCCCCCACCTCCCTTTTAGGCTCCGTTTGTTTCGACGTAGTATTTTTTCATGTAAAATATTTTCTTTTATTTTTATTTTTTGATGTTTGGCAAAGGTCTAAGTCGAGGTTGAGGTGGAGTCCATCGGGTGGGGCGTGTAAAATATTCTGTGGAAAATTGATGAATAAGTTATTTTTGTTAGGTTTTACTATTTTTTTTTCTTCTCAAATATTTTACTACAACGAAACACCAAAAAACACGGAAAATATTTTACGCTCAAACAAACGGAGCATTAATGTTCAAATTTACTTCATTTCCCACGATGACAAATTTCTTTCAATATGTTTTTGTCATTGAACGTTCTTCTCCGCTTGATTCATTTTTTTTTTTTTCAAAATTTAAGATTATGTGTTGTAACAAATCTTATGATTTGTTTGTTGGTATTATTGAGGTTCATTGTTTGTAGGTGTTAGATTTTAATTAGAATTGCTTACTTTTGTGGACCATTTTTGAAATCTAATTTTTTGATCTTAAATTGATTAATTTAACCCATCAAAGTCAATGGTATTTAATCTACGAGGAAATTTTAAGAAAACATTCTAGATTGATGGGCTAAAGAGGCATTGAAATGTAAAATGTTCTTTTGCAATTGTACGCCAAAACCAGATATCTTATTCCTAAGAAATCACGTTCCATTGCTGATACACAGTCTTTCACTATGCGAGCATCTTTATAACCATTATGTCTTGTTTTTTCATTCTATAATGTTTGATGCTTATTCCTTTTGATTCAAGGCGTAATTTGTGGCTGATACTGATTGATTTATTGATGATTTACTAATGAATTATCAGAGACAATGTGAGCAACTTGTTCGGGCCAAGGAAGCTTTTGCAAGGTTGAAGTTGTCGATAGAGGAGCAAATGCCGCTTGACTTTTGGACAATTGATTTAAGGGAAGCTGCGTTGGCCCTTGGGCAGATAAGTGGAGAAGACATCTCTGAAGAAGTGTTGAGTAATATCTTTAGCAAATTCTGTATTGGTAAATAATGTACGAGTGACCAAGGATAGGCCTAACAACAGATTCTGTAAATTAGAAACACTGTTTCCCCTACTGATTTAAAACATATTTTTTTTCAGGTTTAATTGAATAATTGATATAAATTTGACAATGAGGGCACTTTTGGCATAATTTTTTCTTTTGCTTTTACGCAGTAGTAGTAGAAGATATTACTTCCATTTGACTTATGAGCTAGCGTTTGCCGATTATATTTTAGAAGAGCTTTTAAGGGTGCTGGGTGCGTGTCATTTGGACATCCTTTAGATAATTGCGTTGAATGTTGAGAACAACTTTTTAGCTATGTAATCACTTAAAATTATGAAACTTGAATATGGATTATAATATTGTACCTGTATTTATTTTTGAATTAATTTCATTTACATTCTCTCATATTTGATTAATTGTATATAAATATGTTATTTTCTGCAGTTGTGACATCTGGCAGGTAGATTAGTACACTATTACTTGCATTTAGAAAGTAACTACTGAATGAAACACTTGACGGGCAGGTAAGTAGACAATTGCCTGCAATTGGAAAGTGATCATTGAATGGGGCACATGGCAGACATATAAGTGGGTGGTTATTTGGAATTGGAAAGTATATGGCAGTTGGAAGGAGTAATGGCGGTTATTTGGAAATGGAAAGTATATGGCAGTTGGAAGGAGTAATTGCTTTTGGCCACTGGATACAAATAAAAGACGTGGACAGAATGAAAGACATCTCCACAAGAATCAAACAATTCATATTTTCGGTCAGAAGTTCAAGTTTCAAAAAAGAAAAGAAACAAGTGTATGTGAGTATCGACTTAAAAAAAAAAATTCCATATTTTCATTTGTTCGTCATTTTAATTAATGTAATTTATGTTTTCTTAGTGTAATATTTACTTTTCTGCACATATATTTCTTCCTTTAATTTTCAGCAGTAGTACTTTAATTCCTAGTTTAATGAATTTTAGGCTTTTCAATTCAATTAATTTCATTCTTCTAGCAGTACTTTCACAAGCAATTCTATTTAATCTCTTCGAAATTCTTTTTCACATAGGCAAAAAAGAAACTTGTGAAAGTGGTCATTCCAAACTCTGCATAATCACTTGAACTTCAAACATCTTATGGTTAAATTTAGAATATAGTTTGGTACTATTCCATTTCCATTTAATTCTCCATGAATCCTACCACGCCCGCACTTTCCACTGGAATGGAAATATTTTCCTGTGGCCAAAGACATAACTTTTACTTGAATGAAATATTTTTTTGTGGCAAAAGACATTAACTTTTACATATCTTCTTTTACTCCTTAAAAGCAGGAGCATAAATAGAATTAAATGACGACAACATGTCATATATAAACTGATACAACAAAACTAATTTCTTATTTAAGTGACAATAATAAACAATTTCCTTGAGATAAATGTGAAAGCATAGTTAAACAATTTTGAATAATTTCTTGTTTGGTAACCACATTTACGTTATGTTTTTTCTTTGACCCGAAACAGAAATAATGTTTTTGCTTTAAAGTGTGTTCAACACTATTTCGAAACTTGTTTGGTAATGTAAATTTGTTAAAAGATTTTTGAAGCAAAACCATGAAAGCATGTTTGGTAAAAAGTATTGAAAATTTGAAAATTTGAATGGCTAGTTAAAAATGTTATTTTATAAAGATTTTCATTTTTTTTGAACAATTTTTGCTACAATACGGAAGCAAACAAAAATATCATTTTGATGCTTCCGGTTTTGGTCGCAATTTTGAATGTGATTCGATACTATTCAAATGATAACAAATATTATCAAATATGTTTTGTGCTTTTACTTTACTACAGTACACTAACAAAAGTAAAAAATACGAAAAAAAAAATTAACCTAAAATAATTTTACATTCTTTGAGTTGCGCTGCAAGCCTTGCAGAAGCATGCATTAATGCATATTTTTAATTATAAAAGGCAGTATATAAGAAATAGAACACATAATATATGAAAGATCTCAGATATAATATTATATTAAGAGCATATATAGTGGAAAATTTTAATAAAGAAAGAGTTCTAAATAATGTATTATCCAAAGGAAAAGCACATCTTTTATCGTGTCTTAGCCCATTTTTCGTGGAATATATATATATAATCCACGTGACTCATCAAGTCAATTATATAATATAGGATAAAGTGCAAAAAACCCCCCCTAAACTTTGAGAAAATCTACAACTAACCCCTTGAACTACCAAAATTGCAGAAAACTCCCTGAACTATACAAAAAAGTTGCAGATCACCCCATCCGGCCAAGGTCCGGTGAGAATTGGCCGTTAAATTTGGTTGATTTTTTTAAAAATACCATACTGCCCTTAGAAGCATGAAAAGACAAGAGTGCCTTTAATTTCCAACAGTTTGACTCCAATATCCCATCCCAGTCAACAAAGCCAAACATGGCTTTAACCTCGTGATTTCGTCTAGTGGTGGTGCGGCGACGAGGGTTGAGGTCGGAGGAGGGGATAGATCTCCAAGGACGGCGGCTGATTTGGGCAAAGCCATCGTCCTTAAGAAGAGAGGAACGGAGGCCGGACCAGTGCTGGGTCCGATTCCGGGAAGGAGCGGTGGGTCAATTTCTGGAGGGGGAAGCCGCCGCGGAACTGAAGCTCACCGGTAATGGTCTCTGAAACCTTGTCTGCCTTGCCGGTTTGGTCGGTGATAGTCAAAAGCTTCTTATCGAAATTGGAATCTTTGTTAATTAAAGCACTGTTCAAGTGAAGCACCCACCAATCTAAGATGAGCTGTGAGCTTGCGGCGCGGCTTGGCGGGATGGAACGGCAGTGGCTTGTGGCGGTGCTTGGTGGGATGGAACAGCAGCAGAGAACAACGGCTGTGATGGATCCGGCGGGGAAAGGCTGGCGGTGAATTCGGCGATGATGATGAACTCGGCGTTGCCTTCGGTTGTGGGTTCTGTGATTGGGTTGCAATACGTTGTGCTACAGGACTTTTAACTTTTTTTTTTTTTTTTGTTACGGGATTCTGAAATCAACAGGATGGATGCCTTGCGAAGAAAAACTGAAAATAAAATTATATATATTGTAGTAAGTAATATACAAGGAAAGGAAAAATACTTCCCAACTAGAAAGCAATCTGCTTTTTTTTATATCCAGAAATGCTGGTTGTAGACGCGTGGATGTGAGACTTGGGGTCGGAAGAGGGATCTTCTCTAAAGGCACTCGCTGATCTAAAGGTACTGGACCTTCTCTAATAGGATCCTAGATTGTGCAGCTAGCCTTGCAGGTGACTCGAGATTAGCACGGTGAGCCCATGCAAGGAGAACCCAAAGTTCACCGGAAATGAACAAGGTTGCAGTGGTGGCCCATTAGCCGGATTCTGTGATGGAGTAAAAGAGAGAACATTTATCTCTTCGATGTGCTGTCGATCTCCCATTGGCAATTGAGATTTTTGTTGCCACATAAGCAAGTTAATACTAACAATGCTTCAAACGGTGCCTTTTCATTGTAAGGGCAAAAATGTCCTTTATCTTTTCCGGTGACCTGATGGGGTAATATGCAACAAAATGAAAGTTCAGGGTTTTTTTTTCTAGTCCAGGGGGTTAGTTGCAAAACCCCAATAGTCCAGGGGGTTTCTTGTATTTTACCCTATAATATATACAAACACACCTATTAGGTGTATATATACTCGCTATCTGAGAAAAAGACGGAACAAACACCAAGGACGAATAAAAAATTGAATTATAGACTTGAAGATAGAAACAAATATACATATTTGTACGTCTGTATATTGTTCTCAGTGGAGTGTTCTCCAATTTAATGAGTCCGGGGTCGCTAGACTCTTAGACGACTTTTCAATTTACCTACTATTAAAACTCTTAATTTTTATTGTTATTTTATTATTTTGCTTTATCTAACCAATAATTGTGAGAATTAATATAACATTCCATCTTCCCTGTTAGCTTTTATCTTTTCCATCTGTCTTCAACAAATCAACAACCAAGTCATCCAAAATTATTAAAAATTATGGGATAGAATGGCTTCCCGAGTTTCTCAAGAAACTCTTGGTGCCAAAGCTGTTCACAGGAAGCTTCATCCTAATGCTCTTCCAATAGCTCGAAGCACTTCATTTCTGAACACCCAAACACTGGAAAACAATTGCTTTTGGACTCAACAAGCTGTGAGTGGCATTTTAAAAGCTACTTCATATCTCCCGCTTACAATACATTGTGATCTTAAGAATTAAATAAATGGGATAGTAAATACTCGTTTTGTTCCAAAAAAGATGTCCTGTTTGGGGAACCCTGACTCATACCACGGTTTCCCAAACAGGACATCCTTTCTATGACAGAGGTAGTATTTGATTTGAGATTTAAATTAAATAATTAGCTGCTTACTTGTGTGTGTATTCGTGTTCCTATTGTGGCATTTTTTTATGACTTGTAATGTATCGGGTTGTATCTATTTGGGGAGAAAATTTTGCATGCTCACTTGCTACTTGCTATCCCCATCCAATAAAAACATGACATTTTGCTAACTTTCCACGTCAGCTAATAAAAACTTAACTTCGTCTACTTTCTTTTTCAGAATCCCTAACACCATCGAATTTTATTTTTTTATCCTGCCAAACCCAGATTCTTCTATAATATATAAATATAGAGAAATACAAGGGGGTATTGTAATTTTTGTGTAAGATGTACCTCAACATATGGTGGGTGACTGTGGTTGTGATTAGGGCCATAGCTGGGAGTAGGGTTAGTGGCATGAGCTGTGTGAGCTGCTGGTTCGGTGGTCGCCGGTGGATCTGCTGATGGGTCCATATGGAGAGAGAAGACGAAGAGAGAGAGGGGTTTTAGTAGGGATGGCAAATTCTCCATCCCCGCCCTGCCCCCATTTGACCCTTTTATGCAAACGGGGATGGGGATGGGGGTAATTTTTGATAACCCGGCGGGGGCGGGGATGGGGACGGAGACTAAGACGGGCCCCGCCCCACCCCATTTAGGGTGTACATGTACTAAAATACCTTCATATATTATGATATATTACTAAATTATATTGAGTATATGTAGTGATTCCAATTTTCACCAATTTTCATTTTTTGGAATTTTTTTGAGGGTATTTTCGTCATTCCTCGTTTTGCGTGCTGGACACCGTGGAGTGTGCCGGTTGTGTATGAGAGTTGGTTGGGACGTTTCACTGAGTTCAGGGCTCTTTGAAATGTAAGGGTGGTCATTCTGGCATTTTCAGTTTTTCGGATCGGACGGTCCCATGTGGGACCCGCTACCGGAATTGTCGAGTACGAGGGCTTTAGTTGGATCCATTTGCATTATATTTATTTTATTCAATGTGTTTTAAGTAATTGTGAATTAGATGTGTATTTATGTGTGTATGTGGTATAAATTGAAAACAAAAGAAAAGGAAAAATGAAAAGAAAAATGAAGTGGGACCCACCACCCTCCTTAAAGGGGTTAGAGACCACTTTTTGGTCTCTCATTTGCTCTCTTCTCTCGCATCTCTCTTCCTCCTCTTCTTGTTCTTGATTTTTTTTTCTTTTTTTTTTGGTTCCAAATTTCAATTCTTGATCTCTCTCTCAATATTTGGTTTTTTTGAGTGCCGTTTGCGGCAAACTGAAGCTCACGACGAGATCTACGAATTGATCAGAGTAATTTCTTGTTTGGTGCACTCTAGGAGATTTGGGATCTAGGGCACAAATTGGGGCTTTTGGCTTAGATTGAGGTAGGGGTTTTCTAATTCACATTTTCTTGAGCTTTTGTGAATTAATTACCTTAATTTGTGGTTAGCATGGTTATCTTGTAAAAATTTCATGCTATATTATGTATATGTTGTACCAAAGTTGTGATTATGTGTTGTTTGATATATATGATGATGAACCATGTTTAATTGATGATTAATTGTGCTCCTTGTACATTTGTTACTAAAATTCATGACTTGTGTAACGACCCACTCCACCACATGGTATGATATTGTCCGCTT